GTGCTAGGGTGTCAAGCATGGTGTCGTACAAGGAAATCATCACAAGTAGCAGACATGTTATGCCTCATGGGTATTTATGTCAGCCATGTATATCATCACATGGTAGACCACCTTGTCAAGATCTTGCAAACATGATGTCACCCCAAGGGGGTCAGTGTGCATCCATCAGACCACTAAGCACCCTAGTGTCAAGGATGGTTAGCACGAGTATCATCAAGCGTGAAGCCCTCACTCACCAAGCAAGACACCTCCATGGCACAAGGGGCTAGCTATCAAGTGAAGTCATCAAGGTGCAAGGTATCAAATGGCAAGCCCGTAAGGCAGGCAATGTGTCAATCAGGCTACATCAAGTACCAAACATGGAAGGCAGCGGTTACAAGAGGCAGTTACATGGCGGTTACAAGTGATGGTTATAAATAGGGGAAACGAAGACGAAACAAGGGTTCCACAACCAAACATTTGATGCACAATGTCAAACTTTATCGTTTTCTCTGCAAATTAGCCATAGCCTTAGTTTTTGGAGCTCTCACTGAACCTCCATAGGAGTAGGTGTAATTAACTTAGCTTTGTTCCCAAAAAACCATCAAAAACATCAAACACCCTCGTTTGAACATTGTTCGGAGAGGAGTGGACCATGTTGATTTTCGTTGTTCAAGAAGTCAAGGTGCATTCATTGAGTTCAAACACCATTTTTTCCTCGCCGGAAAACACCTTCATCGTCGTCGTCATCACTCGGGGGAGCCCAAGGACAAGTCGCATCGAAGATGACTTGATCTCCGCCTACCACCAGCTCGACCCTTCTCCCAATCAGCACCGCCTGAAAGGCTTCATTGTAATCGCTCGGAGCTCCTAATCTTACCGTTGATGCTATGTGATGGAGCTAAAGATGAATGATGCATGGCGGCGGTGGTTTTTTCCCGTGAGTGAAGGGGCGAGAGGGAGATGGAGAGGGTTTGGATAGCGGCTGCCCACTGTACCATGTTCACGTTATATATATATATATGGTGCCTTCTACTGTACCCCGGGTGAAATCCGGGTTACCGCATACCTTGAGTATGAAAACGCTATCTAGACCTCGAATTAGCAGGATTTTTGGGCATGATACTATGTCCTAACCCTTAATGAGTGAACCTTAGGTCCTAATGATCTAAATCATAAACTATAAATCCTAAGATGGTGATTGATTTTTTTGCCTATATTTGGACGAATCATAACCGTCGATTATTGTTTCTAATTAAATTGATCTTGTGGTATAAGATTTAGAGAATTAAGACCTAGATTTTGAACTTTAAGGGTTAGAGTGTAGTATCATGTCCGAAAGATCAGTCAATTCAAGTTCTTAATAACGTTTTCTTACTCAAGGTATACGGTACCCTTGATTTCACCCAGGGTACCGTAGAACTCCCCATATATATATATGGTTCCTTCTATGGTACCTCGGGTGAAATTCGGGGTACCGCATACCTTGAGTATGAAAACGCTATCTAGACCTCGAATTAGCAGGAGTTTTGGGCATGATACTATACTCTAACCCTTAATGAGTAAACCCTAGGTCCTAATTATCCAAATCATAAACTATAAACCCTAAGATGGTGCATTGATTTTTCTTCCTATATTTGGACGAATCATAACCCTCGATTATTGTTTCTGATTAAATTGATCTTTAACGTCCGTTACTTCCTCATTGTAATTAGGTCCAAACTCGCCACCGTTTGAGCCGAGAGTTTTCAATTTTATTCCTCATCCATATTACGGTGGAATTTGACAAATTTCCCAAGGATATAACAGTCATTTTAACTTTTGAAAAGAGTGGGGTGTAACATGGTCCTTGCTCAATTACAGAGAAGCATGTTTTCATCAATGAGTTATAAACCTACTTAACTGGTGGAAACTTCCAATATGTCTTATTGAGGATTTTAACCTTGTCAGCAGTAGGGAGGAAGCCTCTGGGCAGTCCAGAACGATGGCAGAGATGTCCTTGTTGAATGACTTTGTAAATCACATGGGCTTGATTGATTTACTACTCAGCGGAGCTAAGTACACTTGGAGCAATTTACGAGCGGATCCATCAATGTCCCACATCAATAGAGCCATTGTGTCTACAGCATGGGAGCAATTATTTCCTAATGTTATACTAGCCGCACTAAATAGAGTATATTATGATCATTGTCCAATTGGATTACATTGTGCAGATTATTCCCGTATTAGAAGGCCTTGGAGATTTGAGACAATGTGGATGGATCATGATGCATTTTTGCCAGCTTTGTGTGAATGATGGAATGAGGATATCATCACAAAAAGGAATACATTTAGTGTGGGTAAAACTTTCCAACATATAAAGAATCATTGCAGAACTTGGAACAAAGAAGTTTTCAGAAGATTAGAGCGGCAAATTCAGAACCTTCTGCACCTTATACATGATCTGGATATAAAAGAAGAAGCTGAAAACTTATCAGAGGAGGAGCGACTAGAACGTTGCCAAATCAAATGTCAACTCAATGCAATTTGGGATAGGGAAGAGGTATAGTGGCGTCAAAATTTGAGGGAGACATGGATAAAACTGGGTGACAAGAATACAAGATATTTCCACAGAATTGCAAGAGAAAATAGGAGGAAAAATCATATTCATTCCCTGAGGATAAATGATGTTGTTTTTTCAAGACAACAGGATGCTTCAAAGGGGCATTGTCAATTATTATCAAGATCTTTACCATGGAGGCCATCGGAGTGAGACCTTACCCTCTCTCAAGATACATCTATGGTGCATTACTGAGCAAGAAGGCAATCTCCCCACGCGACCATTTAGTCAAGATGAAATTTGGGCGGTGGTAAGAGGTTGTGCTAGAGAAAATCTCCTGGACCTAATCAATTGCCAATGATGTTCTTCAAAAATAATTGGGACATAGTCAAGGATAAGGTAGTGGCAAATATTCAAGAGTTACATGACATTTGTTCCATGCCATATATGATCAATAGTTCCTTCATATGTCTCATACCAAAGAAGGATTTAGTAGAAGATGTCAAAGATCTCCGACCGATCAGCCTAGTGGAGGTATGTACAAAATCCTATCCAAACTCCTCATGGAAAGGATGCGATATTGTATGGAAAACATCATTTCTGAGCAACAATTTGCCGTCGCTAAAGGAAGGCAGATTTTAGATGCTGCTTTAATAGCCAAAAATTGATAGATTCAAGGGAAAGTAGTGGGCGTCCTAGCTTGGTGTTTAAATTGGATATTGAGAAGGCTTACGATCACATCAATTGGGAATGTACTAAAGTGGAACGCCATATATAAAACCATTAATAAATTAAACACCAATTGATGTGGCAACACAGCCAAGAGTTGGAGTAACATCTGCGATCCAGTTAAATTTCAGCACCACCTCTTGGTGTGATCATACATGCAACCATTGTAGGTCCACTAATAACTTACAGGCAAGGGAATGGTAATCCCGAACATATGCGTCCTATATATATAAGAGCGCTGAAGAATCGGTGGAGCAGTTATTTTATCGTTTTGATTTTACTGACCAGATTTGGATTTATTTTCGCTGTATGCTAAAGTTAATTAGACCAGAACCATATGGGATTATGGCCAAGTTCCGCTCTTGGACATGATGGATTTGTAACTCAAGATTTTCGAGCATTCAAGAGACCGTTGATACATGGAATTATATGGTTTGTTTGGTTGTAAAGGAAACGAAATATATTAGTAGAGGTTGAGAGAAGCCAACAAATGGTTGCTCGAGAAGCGGGACTGTTGACCGTGGAGTGGTTGAGAGTGCATGACAAGGTGCCGAAAGCAGAGAGTCTTTACTGGCTCCGTTCGATATATTCAACAACAACAACTTGAGAAATTGGTATACAACAAGACTATAGGGAGGAGCTGCTCCACTCCTTGCGATGGATGATTTGGTTTCTTTCACCATAAGTACTTGTACATTCCCCATTCTCATCTTTTTTTGTAGCGACTCTATTTAGGAACACTTTTTCCTACTCCTTAAACACAAGTGGCATGACTAAACTCAAACGCAACTGAGAAATGGACAAATGGTATTTAGTGAGTAGTGATGCATACAATATATAGTACAAACAAATATACAACCCAATGTACTCAAATTTTAAAAAAACGGAATAAACAAAAGATGGACAAGAAATCTCAAGACAAAAAAACATGTCATCAACTCCGAAAACAGACAAACATATTCACTCAGTTACTAGGACCTGTCGGGGTAAGGCCAGTAGTAAAAATCGGAATTTTACCTAAAATCGAAAATTGGAGTAAAATCGAATCGTAAAATCGTAAGATGTTAAGTATCATATAGAACATAAACTATAATAATATTAATAAGGTAAATCATTAATAACCAAAGAGACATAACATTTAAAATGATAATTCTCAAAAAAAATTGCAAAAGATAATTCTCAAGATTAATGTTCCAAAATCACTATTTTAATTATTATTTAATGCATAACTAAAAATAATTCATGAGGAAGGGATAAAGCTTAATGAGTTTATCTCTTGTTTTCATGCTGTGTCTAGGTAGTTTAACTCAACATAATATTCTGACATCGTCTAAGTATGATTTAAAACTAAAAATATTTGAACTCCAATAAAATAAGTAATGCTAGTGGTTTGGTACAAATAAATTAATTAGTTAATATTGATGTTAATTCTTACGTACTTCCAATATTAGGAAAATTGTTTTACCAATAAGTTAAATGTGACGGAGGGAAAGGGATCGACCGAGGCCTAATTTGGTTATTTTTATTATTTTTAATGTTTTTTTAGTAGAAAAAATATCTGAGAAGATTTCCGTCATCGCCCTTTCCGTCGAAACAGTTATGCTTCTTTTAAACTAGCTCAAACCACCTATTTTTTCTCATACTATCAAAATTACGATTTTGGTACGATTTTACGATTTTAAGGTCCACCGATTTTATAGTAAAATCAGGATCGAAATCTATAAATAAAATCCTACGATTTTACGATCAAAACCCCGATTTTGACTACATTGAGGCCGGGGATGTTTGGAATGGTTGGAAAGCCGGTGGGCAATGGCGGCACAGACTTTGGGATGGAAGGAATTGTGGGCATCTTTGGAATGGCGCCGGCGCTAGAGAGCAGTGGCAGTCCTCCGCCGGATGGCAGAGATGGGATGGTGGGCGAGGCGCCAGCGGCGTTGGGGAGTGGCGACAATCCTCCTCAGGTTGGCAGAGATGGGATGGAGGGCATCGGAGGCACTTCTGTGGGTTGTGGTAGTTGGAGGAGCTGTCGAGCCGCCATTCCGTTTTCCACGCTGCAGAATGAGACGGCGAGGAAGAGAGCAACGACAAAGAAGTTGGAAGAAGAAGCCATGTTTCGTGTTGGAATGTAGCTATAGATGGAGATTTCTAGTTGTTTTGTTTGGGTTTGAGTGATGGAGGAAAAGGTTTTAGAGGTGGGGGTTTATATAAGCCAGTGAAATTATTAGTATGGTCCAGAAAAAGTAGTTCACTTATCCTTTTACCCATAGAATTGTTGCAATTTCAGGTGGGGTTGGTTAGGAAAAACAATACACGTCCAAGTTTAGGTAATCTAATATGTCACTATATGGTGGGGGAATTTCATTAAATTATAGCCAATTTTGATGTCTCGTACCATTAACCATTTTTTTAATTTATTTTCGGATGAATGTACTCATACATCATCATGTGGTTTGAAGTTTGAACTCTTTTTCCTGGGGCGGAGATGGTGAATACTATATAGTAGTTGTCGTCGTGATAACTAAGAGCAAATTGGGTATGTAAAAACTCTCGTGATTGAATAGATCAACAAGATATATAATAAGGATTCAACCATAGTTTTTCATTTCAAATTTCTGGGATTGAAATTAGGAAGGGGACTTTCGTCATTATAGCATTAATTTCTTATCTATAAAAATAAATATACTAGTGTTGAGAATTGAACCAAGGTCTCTTCGAACAAAGACAAGTATAATAATCAATTACACTAAACAAATTTATTGTATCTTTCTAAATTAAAAACATACCAAAAGCAAACATCTAAAAATCATAGGACTTTTCCACAATGGATAGTTAGCCCACTAAGTTCTATAACTTTTTTGGAAAAAATGATATTTTCCGCTTTAGAGCGAGATCGTGGACCTAAACCCATGAATCGGATGACCTAGCTTGGTAAACAGGGACATGAACTTCCATGACACCTTGTTGTCTCCTTGGAAAGGCAAAGAAATTGCCTACTTCGCAAAGCCTTTCAACAATGCACCCACCCAACTGCCATCTGTTTAACAAGACAAGGCATGATATGGGGTAATCGGGATGGGATTAAGTACTAATGTTCTAAGAGGTTAGCATTGTGCTAACCATATTCGCAACCATTGGATGAAAATATAATCTAACGGCAAAATTATTAAAAGGTTAATTTGGTAAAAAAATATATCATCAACCCAAACCCTAATATATATTTCTCCCACCCCTGGTCATAGCGGCACCCGCCTTGTTTAAAACTGCTGCCCAGCGTCCCTTTCCCATCACACTCTCTGTAAAGATCCGGAGTTGTGATTTGTATTGAGTACAATAAGGGATTTAAATACCCATTCTAAACACCCAGCTAACCAACCTAGCCTACAACTAAGGAACAACTTAACCTCCACGAACTGCACTAACTCCACTAATTATAATTATTAATTTAAACTAACGTAGTGTCCTTATCACGCCCACGCAAGACGGTGGTGGGTACAAACGCCGATCTTGGAACGTAAAAGATGAAAACGAGATATGGGCAGCGGCTTGGTGAGAGAGTCTGCCAATTGATGAGCAGTGGGAATGTGACGGACATGTAGGGTCGCAGACTAAACAAGATCACGAACAAAAAGATAGTCGAGGGCCAGATGTTAATACGAGAATGATGAATAGGATTGCTGGTGAAGTTGATAGCACCAAGGTTGTCACAATAGAGGACCGGTGGTGACGAGACTGGATGATGAAGTTATTGAAGCAGAATTTGGACCCAAATAAGTTCAGAGGTAGCATGAGCTAGAGCGCGATACTCGGCCTCCGTACTAGACCGAGCCACGGAGCGCTGGTTTTTGGATTTCCATGAAATAAGGTTGCCGCCATAATAGATGAGAAAATCCATGGTTGAAGTGTGATCATCAGGATCACCAGCTCAGTCGGAGTCAGCAAAGGCAATAAGCTCAATAGAGACGGCCCGTAGATAACCGGAGCCCATGGGTTGGAGTTCCCTTAAGATAACGAATAAGGCGCTTAACATGTTGCCAGTGGAGAGTAGTAGGAGCATGCATAAACAGAGATAGTTTGTTGACGGCAAAAGCAATGTCCGGACGAGTGCAAAGGAGATACTGCAGCGAACCAATAGCTTGCTTGTACAAAGTGGAATCTGCTGGTGGAGAACCATCAACAAGACACAATTTGGCGGTGGATGAAAGAGGAGTTGGTGCTGGATGAGAGTCAGCCATACCAAAACGGTGGAGGAGATCAAGGACGTACTTTTGTTGAGAGAGAAGATAACCCGTAGCAGTAGGAAGAACCTCAATCCCCAAGAAATAGCTAACAGGGCCAAGACTCTTGAGAGAGAATCGAGAAGCCAATCGAGCCTCAAACTGATGGATGGTTGGCCCATGATTACCTGTCAAGAGTAAATCATCCACATATACAAAAATATAGTGTAACAGCCTCACGATGGTAGATAAATAGGGATGTAACCATGGATAACAAGCACAACCAAAGATACGTAGCTTGTGATAGTTGGGTAGCTCATTGAATAATGAGAAATAGGGAGTGGCCCCATGGAGAGAAGTGGACGGGAGGCGATTTATAAGGTATGTGGCAGTTTGGAAAGCATGAGACCAAAAGGAAAGGGGTAAGGATGCTGTATGGAGGAGGGTAAGACCTGTTTCAACAATATGGCGATGTTTGCGCTCAGCGAGACCATTGTGTTGGGGAGTGTGAGGTGGCGTCAAAAGGTGAGTGATGCCATGCATTTGGAAGAAGGAACACAATTTTTGAAATTCACCCCCACCATCACTATAGACGCAACGAATGGTAGTATGAAAGAAATTTTCAATCATGGCCTTATACGTAGTGAAAACATGGTGCACATTAGACTTACGGGAAATAGGGTACAACCACGTATAACGAGTAAAATGATCCACAATGACCAGATAATATGAAAAACGATCATGAGAAAGAACAAGACAGGGCCCCCACATATCCATATATAATAAGTCAAAAGGACGTGAACTAGATAAACTTGACATGGCAAATGGCAGTTTATGAGATTTATGCAAAGAGCAAGAGTCACACGAGGTGCTAGAGGATAGTGAAGTGACAGGCAAAGAATTATTACGGAGAACACGGGAAAGAAGTTTGAAATGAGGGTGGTCCAAGCGTTGATGCCAGACAGCAGTGGATGAACGTGAAGTAGACAGAGCAAAGCGAGCCGGGGCAGCGGACGACGATAACTCATAGACATCTCCCTTATTCTGGCCTCGAAGCAGGTGCGCCCCCGTGGCTAGATCCTTCACAACAAAAAAATCAGACAAAAATTCCACAGACACAGGGATAGTCTTACACAACTGAGCAACATGGAGAAGGCGACGTTTGAGAGCGGGAACACATCGTCACGGAGTTGCAAACTAGACAAGGGGGACGACAAATGAGATGGCCAATATGAGTAATTGTGAGACCTGATCCGTCGCCAATGAGAACTGCATCCGGACCATTATAGTCCGTGTAGATAGACAGGTTCCCGAGGTCGGGAGTCATGTGGTTGGTTGCACCCGAATCGAGGAGCCAGCCAGCAGAGGTGGGCGGAGCAGTGGTGCTATGATAAGCTTCTGGCCGACCACGAATAAGGTAGCACTCTTTGGCGGAGTGACCGGGACGATCACAAAATTGGCACAGGACTTGAGGACGGCCCAGAATAGAAGAACCAGAGGGATTACCAGAGTATCATGACGATGACTGAGAGGGAGAATACCCACGGTTGGGCCGAGGGCTGGAGCCTCGGCGGGCAAGGGAATAACCCCGATTACCACCAGAAGGGCGATAAAATTGACTCGGCGAGCTTGGACGACCACGAGCAGTGGAAAAGGCAGTGGTAGGAGCTGGCGACTGCTGAAGACAAACTACGGCGAGGTCGGCCTCAAAATCGACGAGACAGTCATGAAGATCTTCGAAGCGGATGGTTGTATCCCGAGCACGAACAACAGCTGAGAGGTGGCCATATTCCTCAGGTAAGCCACGGAGAACATATAAAATGAGGTCCTCATCCTTAACAAGATCATTAATGAGGGCCAATTCAGCCGCAGTGGATCGCATAACTTGTAGATAAACAGCAATCGGCCGATTTCCAAGAGTTTCACGAGCAAGTTTTTCCTTGAGATGCATGATACGTTGACGGGATTGGCTGGCATACATACGGTCTAAAACCGTCCAGGCGTCGTGAGAGGAGGCGGCTAATGACACATAGGGATCGACAACAGGAGACGTAGAGGCAAGAATGGCATGAAGAATTAGTTGATCTTGCCGGAACCAAAGAGTTCGCTCGGCGGCAGGAGCAGTGGCGGCCGGAGATGGATGTGTACCATCGATGAATTTCAGAAGATCGAGCCCGTGCATAAGAGTGAAAAGTTGCCCTCCAGGTCAGGAAATTATCACCGTTAAGCTTGGTGGGTAGCTGAGAGGCCGGATTGAGTGTGACAATGGTGTTGGTGTCATTGAGATTAATCACCGTTTCGCCGGACATGGTGATGTTGGAAAGAAGCAAAGAAAGCTAATGGCAGAAGGTAAGGAAGCCGCAATTGTTCCCGATTCTGTTTTGAAGAAGAGGAAGAGAGAAGGAAGCAATTTTGGAATTGAGGTATATGATTCTTAATTTTGGTGGAGAATGGAGAAAAAAAGGAGGAATTTTAGAAAAAGGAGATTTTGGTGGTTAAGGAGATCTAAGCGACGCTCTGATACCATGTAAAGATCTGGAGTTGTGATTTGTATTGAGTATAATTAGGGATTTAAATACCCATTCTAAACACCCAGCTAACCAACATAGCCTACAACTAAGGAACAACTTAACCTCCACGAACTGCACTAACTCCACTAATTACAATTATTAATTTAAACTAAAGTAGTGTCCTTGTCACTCTCTCTAAAAAACCCACCATCACTCCATTCTCTTTCAACAATGGGGAGGCTTCTGTCGACGGCTGGACAACAAAAGAGACTTGCGAAGAAAGGTGGGCGGTCATACTTCTGACGGGCGGCGGGTTAGATCTGTTCACTTCAACGCCATCCTCAATAGGTAGGTTACGACGAGACTGTGGCGGGTTTCTGTTAGATCTTCTGACATCCGCGAATAGTAGTGTTTGTATTAGTAGTGATTTTTGTTAATTGTTATAATTAGTATCGATATTTGTTAATATTACTAGTATTTTGTGTAGTTATTGTTTATTTGCCGTATTTTTCCTAAAAATTGTCAATCTCTACTGATTTAAAATCACTACTAATGATAATAAAATTGCTATTAATGATAATAAAATCACTACTGAGAATCA